GATCGACCTACATATCCGTAATATTACTAGTGGTCTCACCAGCTCGGGTACCCCGATGCCGGCCACCTCAATCCCTTCTCAGCCTTCGTTTGCTGGCGGGGCAACACTCTCCGCCGCACCTCAACCGGTGTCATCTCGCCCGCCACCATTGATCGATCCTGGAAGAGCGGCGATGATAAGCGGTTCAATGCACTCTGGCGTACCACAGGTCCCACATGGGACGATGTCTGCCAACGGACTTGGCCCACCTTCAGAAGCGACGCCACCGATCACGATTACCTCGGCTACTGGAACTGCTGAGGATCCGAGTGCATCATCTGTTGGAGCCTCTCTCAATGGGTCGCCCAACTTTGCGGTCTCCGCCGGCCTGCCTGGACGGCCCAATGTGCCAGACTTTGGGGCCGGGATACCGGGCCCACAAGCAGGGGTCCAACCGGTAGCGGGAGTGACAGCGCCTACGTTGACTCCGATGGCCGCGCAACTGGCAATTGACAATATCACTAACCAAGTAAGTGGGGCGGGTGTGCATGGTCGGGCGGCGGAGGATGACGGCCCGGAGGGTCAACCCGGAGCCAAGAAGATTAAGCTCAGTCCAGCCACAGCAGCCGAGGATCCGTCTCAAGTCCCAGCCGCACCCGTGCCACTTGCTCCGCAACCTGTTGTCCCTCAACTGTTCACCGAGGAACAGTGGATCGAAATGCATCCTGAACCTATCTCCCTGCTCATCAAGCTGCCCGAATATCCTGATAAGCCCGAGTGGGGATGCGACGGGAGTGAGATCGTCTTGGAGGAACTTCCAATTACCTTATTGGTGGGCGTGTTGCGTGATAAATTATCGGTTGAGTTTCCCTTTTTTTTATTCTTAGAATAAGTATGGTTGATCTCTTAGATAATAGGTATTGATGATATTTTTGGTGTTTTTTTTTAGCATTTGAAGGGGATTCCTGTGGGCAGACAACAGATAAAATTGGCGAATAAGATCTTACCTAACCAGGTCACCTTGGCCTCCTTGAACTTCAAGAAGGGCGATAAGCTTAATTTGGCTATTAAGGAACAACGCAAAAAATGAGGTTTCATTATTTGTCTATCATGGCTTGCTCTTGTTACTTGGTTCATCTCTCGTGTTGGCTCTTCAGCTTTCTATAATGTTACTCTTTGCCCCCCCCCCCCTCTCTTGTTCTTAACCTCATCCACTGGTCTTCATATTTAGAGATGAGATTGATTCTATTTTGAGGTGTATTGGATTGTTGAGTTGTGGGGGGACAAGAAATTTGGAAGGAGGGGACAGCAGTGTGCAGTGAGTAGGCCATCTTTTGCGTACTTGACCGGCCATCTTAATAAACACCCTTGCTCAAGCCTCGCCAGAAAAAGATAAGAAAAAAAAAGAATCAGACAAACGACAGAATGACAACTACGTCGAACGCATCATCATCTCGGACACAGAATGCTCATCAGGAACACCACCACCGACCCGATAACCTCCCTTCTGTCTCTGGCGAGAACGTGTAAATGAACTTACCTTCCCAATCAAATCACCAAAATCACTAACCTCCAAATCTCTCTCTCCCTGTTCTAGGTTCCTATTTCTACCGAATTTGATAGGTGATTATTCCAGACAAAGGTCGCAAAATGAAACACAAAGGCATACCTCAGGCTGAAAAAAAGACGGGGTGTGTGTTGGGTGAGAGAAACCTAGGTTATACACGGATAGTCTTGGCGGCGGTATCGTTGCACTTCATGTCGTACCATCCCATCTATTGTACCATCGCATACATCATCTCGCAGCTTCTCGATGCCGTTGATGGCCAGGTGGCCCGCATGCTCGGCCAGACTAGTAAGTTCGGTGCCGTCTTGGATATGGTCACCGATCGGTAAGCTCCTCTTCTTCTTGAATCGTCAGTTCGCAAAAAAAAAAAAAAAAACGTCTGAGAGATATGATCCCCTCGTGCGTCCTACTGCAGGTGTACTACCAGCTGTCTTCTCTGCTTTTTAAGCTCCGTCTATCCCAAATGGGCCATCATGTTCCAATCTTTGATTGCGCTCGACTTTGCAAGTCATTACATTCACATGTATAGGTCCGTTACTTCCACTTCCCACCTCCAATCTCTCTATCTCTATCTCTCTCTCATTCACATCTCCTTCTCCCTGCATTTTCAGCTCCATGGTCGCTGGCTCAAAATCTCACAAAACCGTCTCCAAGAAGCAGAGTAGAATCTTGCATTCTTATTATACAAATTCTGTAAGTCATTCCTTTTTTTAAAAAAAGGAAAAAAGAAGTGATGTTGAATTGAATACACGCTCACTGCATGCATGGGCCCTCAAACAAACACACGAATGAAAGAATACATTATTCTTATTTTGCGCGGGAAACGAACTATTTTTTGTGTGTTTATATCTCGCGCATTGGTATGACCAGCCGCTACTAACAGGGAGATCGAACTACATGGGAACAACAACCCTGCCAACATTCCCATCATGGACATCAACAACAGCAACAACAACAACAATGACGAGAATAGCTCACTCGATCACCCTGCCTCAACTCATTGCCCTTCTTACCTTCCCCATCTGCGCCGGAAAACAAATCATTAATCTAGTCCAGTTTTGGAAGGCTAGCAAGAGTATCGTCGAGTCCGACTTGGAAGATCGATGGAAGGCTCGTCAGAAACAGGCCTAAAAAACCTCTCGTGTACATCTGTCTCTCTCTCTTAAAAAAGCCTTGTCGATTCAACATATTTGCTCGTTCATCTTCCTTGTGTCTTTGTGTTGATATTGTGTTTCTCTACCTTCGTCATTTTTGATCTCTTTCTATCTTTTTTTACCAGTTAATTTAATACTTTCCACTGAGAATTTGCTTCTTTATCTATTTATCCGTCTTATATATGAAAGCCCTCCCCCCCCTTTTCACTTACCTTCTTTTTTGTTGAATCGTATGATGTATTTCAAGCTCCCTCATCTCTGCCCCCCAGTACTTGACTCAAGCTCCACCCTGCATCTTTCTATCCAAAATCACACAACATAGACATACATTATAGCTTACATACAAGCACTCATATGTTTGGGAAAGGCTTGCTCCTGTTGCTTCTCTCCTTTTTGGGGATCTTGAATCTTCACCATCACTGCACCTTGGGAGTGAGTGTCATTGTGTACGTAAATAGATGTGTAAGGTGAGCTCTTGAGATCAGGGTTTAGGACTTGAGGTTCTTCCATCTGGTTGCTTTCTCTCTTACAGACACTCACAGGATCCGGCTTGTTGGGCCACACAGATGCCTTTGGAACAGATTGAACACAGGGCAATCATGTCAACACTATGAAGCAGACAGTGCACATGCACATGTTATCAGTCTCTATCTGCTATGATTAAATCATCATTTATTCAAGTTTTCTCCATTATTCCATCAATATCACATCTTAGCCACCTCTAAAAGTATGTAAATACATCCTTCAGATGCTTCTTTTTTTACATTGGTGAAATATTATATTTCTGTTGCTATGCTTAAGTGCTAATGATACCAATCTTAAAGAATAATAATAATAGAGGGGAAGGAATTTTTACCTAGATTCAGAGGGGGATCAACAGGGGAATATTCATGGTACTTGGATACATATCAATTAGTGCCATAAAAAGTACCATTGGAATCTTTATCAGCACAGTACCCAAGTCTCTCCCCTGGTGGATCTAAGTGATACTCTTGGGTGGCTAACAGACAATGGATAACTGACAAGAATGAGCTGTGTGGGGGTGCTTGCAGGCTCATTGACAGTACCCTCCATGAAAATGCATCCAGGAATACCTGGGGGCCCCATGTGAGAATATGCCCTTCCTGGAAATCACAGCCCACACCCCTCTTGAGTCTCCCCCAGTTCTTGGACTGAAATAGACACACCCACCGCAATCAAAATCAACTCAAAAGTCCCTCTCAAGGTTTTATATTTCTACACCTTGAAGCCAATCCAATAAGAGTAATGAATCAATTTTTCCTTTTCATTTTTTATTTCCCTTGGAAAATCCTCAATATAACATATTGGTACATAGCTGCAACAAGATATTTCAATAAAAAAAAGGATTAAACAGCCTGGGTCAGATTGGGATGTTTGATACCACTCTTAGCACCTGTAAACAGTTCATGTTCATCTTTTTTATATCCATAATATTGCACCATTTCAGAATGATCAGAATACTTGAAAAATAAGTCAACAATTGATTAAAAGTGGGTTCAACATGGTCTTAGAGTAACCAAAATGTGTCAACCAAGCTAATGCACCACAGCTCAGGGAATTATTGAAGAGCTGGAGCAGGCATAGTGTCAATGTGATGTGGAAAGATGAGAGTGCATCAATGCTGTGAGAAGCCTGATCACATAAAGAAGCAATCAGCCAAATTCAAGAAGAAGAGAGAGGAAAAGAAACATCGGGGATAGAATAAATGAGATGTGGAAAAGGAATCCTAGTTCCACTATGGCTGCCCCAGGTATATACTACACCACAGTTTAAGTCCATGATTGTTTTGTAGCATGCAAAAAATCATAAAACACACCAAATAAATCCAACCAATTCTTTCCAGAAAATCAAAACAAACGAGTGACACTACAGTGGATTGTTTCATTCAAGGATCATTGTGTCAGAGATATCTCCAAATATGTATTGAAGATTAAACCTAAGCAAAGGACTGATTTTGGATATAAGTGTCTTTGTGAATTATGTGTGAGGATATTCTCTGAACTTATTGTGAGTGGTACTTGAGCTTCAAAATCAGTTGATATAGTAAGTTTAATCCAAGTAATCTCAAGTTGGCAGATGATTTTTGTTATATACAGTCAAGAAGGAGGATTTTATAAGCAGGGATGGATAACATTACAGCTTATTTGCAATACAGGAGAGTCAAGTGTGATGGGTAGTAGACAGAAAATATTTTTTGCAAATTGCTCTGGGAGTTGAAACTGAGATGAGCCTCACTGAAATGTAGACCACTGTATTTTGTGAAACTCTGAATAGAATCATGTGTCCTGTGGGAATCAAACCCATGTCTCTTATGTCCATGTCAAGTGTACTTAACCACTGTACTAAGGATACTTGTGGATGAATGACGGTGGCTGGGTCAATGAATGCAAGTGTGTCTATGAAATACCAGTTGGTGAATGCCAGTGATTTGACAGGTGATAATGTCATAGACACCAGCAGTTATGATATCACCTAGAGAAGCAGAAAACATATTTCCCATCTTGAACTGGTCTTCATAATGTGTTTGAAGGGGAGGATTTCTTTGTCCAAGATAGAAAGAGACAAAAAAAAGGGGGAATCAAGATTACTGGGACCCTGCCCAACAATTAGTTTCATCTTAAAACTTTTCGAATTAATCAAGTTTCATTCATGATGTGCTCCAGAAGTGCATGAGTACATTGATTGAATTAAAAAAAAAAGATGGCTAAATTAAATTAAAGATAATTAGAAGTGCAAAGATAATGGCGACCTAGCTAGGATACGGATATATATTGAACAGGCTCGCCCTCTGAATTTCTTTTGTGGTGCATGGGTCTCGTCCAGCTGGTGATGGACTGCAGGGTTATATATATATATATATATATATATATGTTCAAAGTCGGAATTGTTTTATGTTTTGGGTTAGGAGGAAATGTGAATGGAGAGTTATGTATAGGTCCTTTGGAACTGGCCAGGGTGCTAGCAGCTTGAGGCTCTGAAAAAGAAGGAATGTACGCAAATGGAATTTTCTTGTGATCGGCCGGCAAGGGGGATTAATTAGTCATAGTCTTGACGAACCCCTGCCTGAATAAAATTGAAAATGATTGACGGGATATTACTCCCCACGGGAAAGAGACCCGATTAAAGCAAGTTATCCCAATCGTTTCGACTTACACCTTGCCTGATGCGATGGGCTGCCCTCTTTGAACCTTGGAGATTGGAGGTTTTTCGATGAACCACTCCGTTTTTTTATTTTATTTTTTTATTTATTTTTTTTTCAGCCGTGGTCTTCATGAGTTGGTCTGATGTAATGGCTGAGGTGAGTTTGGCTTATTATCTACTAAATCCGTGATCCAAATCGCTGTTGACCATAACCGTCGCGTCGAAGCAGAGGATGATGTCATCGATGACGATCCCCTCTCTTCACCCTTCTTCACCCTCTGAATCTTCTGCTCATACATTCTTCCCCTCAGAGTCCCCTTCGTTGTTTCCCCCTCTTCCTACTGGAAATAAAAAGTTACTACTCTAGACTCCCTTCCCTAAACTCCAGCAGCTGTTACACTCCAACATCCTCCTCCCAATTTATAAAACAAACCAAAAAAAAAAAGAAAAAGAAATATGTCAAACGCTATCTCTTCACCATCCGCCCTCTTCACCACTCAGGCCTACTCGACCCACATCCAACTCCTCTCCATCGCCCGGCTAGGACTTGGTCTGGGTGCATTCATCGCTCCCGCCCTGTTTACCCAAAAGTTAGAATCACTTGCTTTCTTTCCCGCTTTACCAAACACACCCGTTTTAATCACACTCGCTCCTCTGTTTCCAGTGTCTTTGGTTTCACTAAAACTCGTAGTGTCAATGACAGCAACAGCTCGAACCCTTCCTCCGGTAGTCCAGAGGAGCTCTCCATTGCTGTTCGGTGAGCTTGCTCTCCTTCTTGCCACCATCAATCATACTGCTCCACAAACTAACCCAAGTTCTTCCTAGTCTCTTTGGTGCGCGTGATATCGGCCTCGGACTACTTCTGCGTGACTCAGCATCCGCCGTCGTTGAAAGAGGTCTTCAAATGGGCTGCTTGGCGGACCTCTTGAGCATCTGCGGTGCTGGTTTCGGCTACATGGATGTACGTAGATCCACTCGTTTGCTTGTTTTCACTAAAATTATGCAATGTCGTATGACCAAGCCATTTTCGAAAAAAAAAAAAAAACTAACATAAATCAAATCCTTTCAGGGAACTTTGAGTCAAGAAGTGGCCACCGGGGTGGGTCTCGTCGGCTTAGTGCTGGCCGGCTTTCAAGCCTATATCTTGAACAAATAGCCTCACTCAATCTGGGGTTATCGGGCATTGGTTCTTCTATTCCTCAACACGTGTAGCTTGGGAAAAAAAGAAAAAAAAGAAAACTTGATCATTAATAGTGTCTTCTGCTGATTTCTTCTGCGCCCACGGAATCAGTATATTATATCATTTTTTGAATTCCCTGGTGGTACATCATGATGGACAACCATGACCACGTCAATTCACTGTTTTGAGTTCACAATGAGGTCGACCGACAGATCTGCTCTCTATCCTCACACATTCTCCGAAATGCCAGCACATTCTGGGAGTTTCCTAAACCTGGAAGCGATGCTGGAAGGATGAGACCAAGATATTTGTTGGAATCTTAGCTCCAATTATCTGCTACTTTCTAAAGCATAATCAGCAAGCTTAAATACTTCACACCACTCCCTTTGTCTTCTGTGACGTCATTCTATGCGTGAAATGATATGTGACATGCCTTGCCGCAAGAGTACAGCTCATTTTGAAAATGATACAGACCGTTCGGTGCACGGTCAATATCTTGCAAATATCATGCCGGTCCCTACAAAACCCCGGATATTTGTGAAATAAAGTTTTTGGGAATCTTCAGATACTGACCAAGATAGTTTGAGCGTTCGGAAGCTCCAATCTCTTGAAAATCTCTCAGAAACTCGATTCCAATCCCAAGCCAAGAGAATCCCGAGTGAGATACAGGTATTTTGCATGAGCTCCCGGCTACTGGGCTGCGTTGAGGGATCAATTAGGTTTGAAGCCTGAATATAGTGATATTGGTAAACCCTAACCTAGTGTGTCATCTAGTTTTCCTTCTGTTGTATTTTCATCACTCTTTTATTGGGCGAGCTAGGCAAGTGTACTTTAAACAGCGAAGGCTGTGAGTTAGATGAACAGTCCTTATGACTGGTTGAAGAAAACACGCGAGCACACCTTGAGAAAGAAGAGTGAGAATACATGAGCACATAATGAATTGAAAAAGATGAGTGAGACCAATGATGGAAGAATATCAGGCATACCTGGAACCGTGAAGTGAGGGTGTAGCGGATGTTAGATTGATTGACGAGAATGGAGAAGAAATAAAAACAGAGTTGAGAATGAGAAGAAATACAACTGGGACAGGAAGTTGGATTACGTGATCAGACCAACTAAGTTTGTGACTCTCATCAGATTGAGTTCAAACCTAACACCACGATTCATGGTACCGACCGTGAGAGGACTTCTTAGGTTCAATATAAAGGTGTTGGCTGCTTCAGTGTACGTGATGTGCGAGTTGTTGATCCCCATGTACACATAGACTTTGTTGATGACAGCCTGTCAAAAGGTGGTGATTGTGGTCATGCGGCATGCTTCATTGTAAATAGCATCCGGCTGAGCATTGAGATCAGGTGCCCAGACTCGCATACCCAGCTTGGCCATGGTGGCCCACATGTACTCATTAAAGACTTGAGAGATGTGGACGACACCTTTTCTGAGCTTGATTTGACCAACCTTGGCATCTCAGAGCATTTGGATCTCCTGTGCGGCAATGAGAGTGTCTTCAATTTGTGCCGTGTCTGTAAATTGCTGGTTAAACTCTTCAAGAAGAGCTGGGTCTGGAGGAGTCAGGATTGAATGCTCAGTTAACATCCCTCACATGAGCTTGATATGTATGTAGAAGGCTTCCTAAAGATTTCTTTCCGGAGTCAGTCAATGAAAGATTACCATGAAAGAAAATAAATAAATAATCTCACTTTTGTACGTTCAAAGCCAGCAGGCTGCTTGCTGCAAAGCATTTGCAAAGGGCTCATTTTGTTGGAGCTAGACCCCAAAGCAGTAGGTGTACTGGATCTTGCACGCTTTAGGTGGAGTTTTTGGTGTGGGCTTTGGATTCGAAGTTTTCTTGATGGGCTTGGCTGGTGGGTTTCAACGGTGGTTTGTTTGGCTTGGGGTTGGGATCTGATTGACGGCTTCCATCACCACCATTTGCAAGTTTCAGCTCGAGTTGAGCGATCTTTTCAAGCATTTGCTGCATAACATTGTCACGTGCAGCAAGAGCTCCAAGGATATCATTATTAGAATTAGAGGCTGGGAAAGACATGATGAGTCGGTGTGGTGTGTATGGTTGCAGATGGATTCAGGTATGATAATGCTAATAGGGTGGATAGTTGCTTATAAAGTATAGCCTTAATTGTGACACCTCCCAACTATGTATCCTCTGTGAAACTCAACTGCTGCGCAAATCTTCCAGGTTGTAAACCCTAATCATCATCTGAAAAACCCAAATCTCATTCACTGATTGATCTCGCTCACCACTCCACTTCTTTCTTCTTCTCCTCATGACTCGCTCACATTCACTTCCATCTCAAAAAAAAATTAACTTTCATCTCAAGACATCATCTTCCTTAATACCCGCTCTCGCTCAAACTGGACGGACTTGCCTAAATCTAATTTCTTTTTCGTTTCCCAAGTTCTGTCTTTCAAGCAATATATTCTTAAGCTTGTCACTTTGTGAGCAAAAATAGACGGGAGCAGCACTTTATAGACATGAACTCTGAAAGAATTTGGGGCGAGGCAAAGCCGGGCACAACTATGAAGCACACAGCCACGATACCTTTCTATCGCTTTTGCCACCCATGTGAGGCTATCAACATAGTGTACCAGATATGTAGTCACACAAACTGGGGGGAAATGAGATGCTTACAGAATGCGAACCGATGATCGGTCGGTGCATCGGATGATCCAAGATATCCATTACTGATGAGTCATTACAGCCAATCAAACAAGAGCATAGAGTCTAGTAAACATGACACAGAAGACAAAGAGCGCAAACAAAAGCAGTAGACCACAGCCATGTAGCGCGTACAAGCTTCCGGAGAGATCAAGATCCACAAACGCGAGTTTTACAGAAAAGAAAGTTTTGTTTCTCTTGTTCTTTCTGGTTACCGTGAAAAGATGACAGAGGCAAAGGATGGAGGCGGGCAAGATGGGGAATAATGCTGGTGCATCATGTTCTATTCTTGGTCCTCGCATTCCGCGTCGATTTCCATTTCGTCATCCATCTGTCTCATGGAAGTTGATCCCT